ATTTTTCGTTCCGAGCAGTAGTTTTTTTTAGATAAAAAGGTTCAAAACAGGCCACTCATACATTACGGTTGAACGGAAACCTGTCCGTGAGTCGCGCGTTGATAGTTTAGTGCACTAACACTATCGACGCGCGACTCACGGACAGGTTTCCGTTCAACCGTAAGGTATGATTGGCCTGTTTTGAACCTTTTTATCTAAAAAAAACTACTGCTCGGAACGAAAAATGGCAAATAACTTTTTAATTTATTTTTTCGACGACTTTCTTGCTATGGTATTTTGATTCGCGAATTTCAGGACACCCTGTATAACACGTGTTGTACACAACAATTACATTGTAAATTATATGTATATTGAAATTGTGCAACTGTAAGTGTTTACTGAGAACTAATTAGCCGGATGGTGACCACGAAACGCAATTTGACATAATATCATAACATCTGCAATCTTTAGTTAGTTTAATCTATCCAGTTTTAAATCCACTTTAGGCTAAATTTAAGGGGATAAGACTGGGAATAATTGTTCTACTTACATTTTGAAGAATTCTACGCAGACAGAAAAGGCGTTTAATGCACTGTTACGGTCATCAACAGTGCTACTCGACGGCAGAGAGCTTAATGCTAACTAAACTGTTCTATTTATTCTCCGCCTATCGGAAGATATCCCCACTTTATCGTTGTGACGTGGCTCATTTTCTTTAAAAGAAGCTTACTGGAGAGATACAACCCAGCAAACACAAAGTAACAGTTACATAACTGTAAGTTAAAATTTCCTACTCAACAATATAACTGTTACATAACACACGTGTTATACATATACAACAAGTTGAAACAAAAAGTTGAAACGCGAGTAGGTAGGAACATGGATAGGACTATACATCGGAATACAAGCAGGTAGGGATTCGGTAGGCAGAGACAGGGGGACATAACTCAATAATTTTATAATGTAATTATTTCTTTTATAATACTGTATACGTTGTAAAGTAAATTATAAGAAAAATTAAATAAATAATAAAATTGTAAAAAGTCACATTGAAAAGAAAAAGAAACCGCCGATCGAAATCGGCGGGGGTAGTGAATGGCCTCTTTCAATTAAGTTGAACTGTTTTTAAGATATATGTATGTATTATTATAAAAATGTCCAGTCATTCTTGTTTGTCCATTTAAGGTGTAAAGTTTATGATATAAACTTAACACTTTATGATAGAAAAGCATTTTTTTATATCTAAAAAGACGCTTTCAATTTTTCGTAACTACTTGTTAAATATCTATCATTATCTTCTAATAATTTTACTTTATCATAAATTAAGAACGTAGACGGATTATGAAAAAAGTGGGCGAATAAAAAGGTAAATTTCGTGGAAACGAAAGAAGTCCACAAAAAATTAAATATAATTAATTAATTAATTGTAAATTTATTGAAATACAAAAGTACGTAATGAAGTACAATAGTTCAAGTTTTAATCACATATAGTTTTATCTTTGTCATTTGATAATATACGAGTAACAAGTCTACAACGGCTGATAAAGTATACAATTGTACCTTCAAGGCGTAGTTCTTGAAATTATAATATAGCTTGACGTAGATAGAAGCACAATCTTTAAAAAACAAATCAATATTTTATTCAAATTTACACCAACAAATAACCGATTCTATCAGAAACTTAACCAGCATTTTATTACATATAAATTATTATATATATATATATATATATATATATATAATATTTTTGATCAGTATACTAGTATAGATGCTGGACGCTTCGCGATCCATTTCTTGATGGCCGGTACTTCTTCGACCTTCTTCTGAAGTTGTTTCAAGTTCTTATACTTCTCGACGATGTCCTCATTCATCATGAAGTTCAGATACTCCAAAAGGGCGACAAAAGTGAAATCGGCCCACGACAGAGCACCACCGACGAAGTAACCGCCGTTCTTCTTCACTTGAGCGTCCAAACGCTCCAAATAATATGGCACCGTTGTTTCTTTGGCAATTTTACGTTTCGTCTCTTTAGCCTGTTCGTTACTTTCATAGTAGAAACCAGCAATATCTGGTGCAAACAAAAAAAAGATAAGACAAATAAGTGTGACAACTCAGATGACAATCATTTCAGGGAATAGAAATCAATGTAGATGTTAAAAAACATGTTTCTTCACTATTCATCATTGTTTCGGAATAAATCTGACCATTATTGAGATGTAAACCTACTAAAATTGTGATACAAATCTGTTTTTAAAATAAATCTCCTGTCCTGGTAAATAAGCGATAAGTATAGCGCAAATATAATATTATCTACTCACTGAGGCGTAAATCGTGTATGGTGTCGATGGTCGAATCGATTTCCAGAGACTCCCAATCGTTCTTGCCAGCAAGACCGCATTGCTTCGCAAAGTAACGGCCAATAGCTACGGACTGATCGATCTTCTTCCCGTCTACTATAAGTACGGGTACTTTGCCGAATGGCATAGCTGAAAGATAACATTAGAACGCATGAATATACAATATACTGTTAAAATTGATAAGGTTTCTAGGGACACTCTTGGGTTATTGTGAATTTAAATCTACAACAATTGGATGTTATATCTATATATTATATGTACATATACATTGAGAGTTTTTACGATTAATCATTGCACATAATTGAAGTACAATTACATTTTTAAGTCTTATTGTTACTTTGGCAACCCAAATCTTAATTTGTTTTCACAAGTCTCAGTTTAGCAATTCAGTCTTATTTTCACGACAATCTTTTCTGCTGTACATTTACCATATACGAGGGTGAGTCAAAAATTATCTGCACTTTTCGTTCTACAATTTATTTACACAAAAATAGGGGTTCAATGTATACATCATTTTTCAACATAGTCTCCTCCCTTGGCAATGCACTTGGTCCAGCGGTCCACAAGCTTGCGTATTCCTTCCAAGAAGAAGGTTTTCGATTGGTCGCAAAGCCACTTTTGCACCACTTCCTGCACGTCTACGTCTGTAGAAAATTAGCGACCTCGCTAGCATCCTTGAGCGGTCCAAACAGATGAAAGTCGGAGGGAGCAAGATCTGGGCTGCAGGAAGCGGTGCAAAAGTGGCTTTGCGACCAATCGAAAATCTTCTTCTCGGAAGGAATACGCAAGCTTGTGGATGGCTAGACCAAGTGCATTGCCAAGGGAGGAGACTATGTTGAAAAATGGTGTACACATTGAACCCCTATTTTTGTGTAAATAAATTGTAGAACGAAAAGTGCAGATAATTTTTGACTCACCCTCGTATTATTAAATGTGTAGCGTAATTATTACATCAAAATATTTTATGTTAAAAGTGAAGAAGTATGTTTCGATAGTTCGTTGCTCCAAAAAATAATGCAAAAGCTACATTACATATAATTTTTGCCACGTCATAATTGTATTCGTAAATCAGATTTGCAGAACGATCGAGTCGGATTAAGCTGGCGACAAGTGATCGTTGACAGCGACATGTATTATTAATGTTAATCAATTGTACATACTCGGTTTAAGTTTTGGCCAATCTTTCCTGTCGAAACGTTCATCCTCGAATTCGATGCCAGCATAGTTGAACAAGAATCGAATTGGCTCGGCCACTGCAGTGACGGGGAAATAAATCAACTTGTAGGAAGGCATGTCGCTGAACAAAAAGACACGGAATAATAACTATCGTATTCTCTTATCGTATAACATAAGATATTTAATAATATTTTGCAGCCTTGATGTTCTATTGCAACTTTCAAACATATTGTTCATAATGAGTGTTGCTAATTTGTCGGCAACCCAACAAACAGCAACTAACGAGTACATAACATCAATATTATAATTTTTTTCTTAACAATACAAATGTAATATATAACACGTGTTGTACACAACAATTACATTGTAAATTATATGTATATTGAAATTGTGCAACTGTAAGTGTTTACTGAGAACTAATTAGCCGGATGGTGAAACGCAATTTGACGTAATATCATAACATCTACAATCTTTAGTTAGTTTAATCTATCCAGTTTCAAATCCACTTTAAATTAAATTTAAGGGGATAAGAATGGGAAAAAGTTCTACTTACATTTTGAAGAATTCTACGCAGACGGAAAAGGCGTTTAATGTACTGTTACGGTCATCAACAGTGCTACTCGACGGCAGAGAGCTTAATGCTAACTGCTCTATTTATTCTCTGCCTATCGGAAGATATCCCCACTTTATCGTTGTGACGTGGCTCATTTTCTTTAAAAGAACCCAGCAAACACAGTAATGTAACATATATGTA